TGGCACGAGGGGCGAGTCCCTCACCAGACCTTCCCTTCTCCTTTCTTGCAGGGCTGAAGACCCCCAGCAACTGTGAGCTGGTGGTGGGGGGAGAGCCCCAGTGCTGGGCCGAGGGACGCTGCCTGCTCTTCGACGACTCTTTCCTCCACACGGCCTTCCATGGAGGCAAGTCTGGCTCTCGGCGCGCACCCCACCCTCCCTGTGCCCCCACGCCCCACCCGTGGCCAAAGCTAGACCTGCATATCTTGGCGCGTTCGTCCCACCTGTCCAGCGCTGGGGGGGGGGGCAGACGCCTGGTGACTCTGGCTTCCTGGTCTTCGTGCCAGGCTGCAGTCCGTCAGGAGCTGCAGCCCATTTGCACGGCCCTGCCCTGAGGGTGTCCACTGTTTGAATGGGCTACTGTGGTTCAGGGGGTAGCGCGGGAGTGGTCTACCCTTCCGGAGACCTCTCCAGACTACGGATCCCATCACCTCCCAAGAAGAAGTCAGCACACGGAAGAAAGGAGGCGTCAAACAGTTGCAACTGTGCTGAGGAACAGGCCTGCCCACCGTGGCCCATCAGACCATCGCCCCCGGGTTCTGGAGTGGTGCGAGACCCCCTTTCCCCTCTCCGAGGAGAGTCCCTGGGGAGAGGGTGTGGGGTGGGAGCCCTAGAGGAGAGGCGAAGACTCACCCTGCGCGCCTTCTTTTCTTCCTCCAGGTCCCCCCGAGGAAGGGCCCCGTGCCGTGTTCATGGTGGACCTCTGGCACCCCAACGTGGCCGCTGCAGAGCGCCAGGCCCTGGACTTCATCTTCGCTCCGGGACGATGATGTGACCCCCCCTCCCTGCTGGTGGGCTGGAGGAGGTCCAGGGCGCCTGGAGCTGGGATGCCGAGCCCGCGCAGCCTCCACAGAGACCTCGCCTGTCCTGGCGCGTGGATCTCCGACAGGGAGGCGCACCCGTCCACGTGGCGTGAGGGCCGCTCCTCGTGCTGAACTTCCGCCCCTTGGGACCGTCCACCTTGCCGTCTTGTTCATTCTGTCCCTCGCTCGAAGGGAGCGGGAAAGGACAGAGCTGTCGTCCCCCCCACCCCAATGCCACCTCCTGCTCCTCTGTTAGGCACAGTGCCACTGTAGTGTCTGTGCGTGCGTGCGTATGTGTGTTCATGTTGCTAGCTGTGTCCCAAACGTAGAACCCAAGAGCCCACCTGGGGGGCTCTTCTGGATGAACGTCACCACGTCCACCTTTTTTCTTGTGAGCATCTCAAGACACGAAGCCACCCGCACCTCGGCCCCCCCAAAAGGGCAAAAGCAAAATGCAGAAGGCGCCGGGAGGGAGAGGGTCCCCAGGGGACCCCCATAGCAGCTTTTTGGGGGTGTGTGTGGCCCCCTCTGGGCCTATTTCCCCCTTTTGCTGTAAGAGGTCTGACGCACCCCTCCTTAGAGAAAGTGGGGGAGGAAAAGGGTAAAGGCTGAATGTGTGTATGTGAGAGGGAGGGAGAGAGGCAGAGAGAGGATCGGGATGCCCCCCCTTTTCTGCCAGCTTTGCATCAGCCTCTTTGGTGCCTTCTGGATCCCTTGGCTTTGGTCGCTGCTCGGATCGGGGCCGGCAGCGGGGAGCGCGTGGGGGAGGAAGGGGGCTGCAGGCTGGGTTGTCCTCAGGAAGGAAAGCGCAAGAGGGGACGGCCGCGATGCAGGAGGGGGGGTTCCCCATTTTTCGGCGTGCCTGCCTGAGCCCAAAGGCCTGCTGAAAGGAGCCGGGGAGAGAGAGAGACACCCCCCCAACTCTGTACTGCCAGTGGATAATTTTCACGCATCACAATCTTGTGTGGGATTTTTAAAAAATACACAAAAAGCCATGCATGTTGTTGCTGTTGTTTTTTAACAAACCCAGAAATCTTCCCCCAACACCAGCCCATGTGACTGAGCAGCCCCTTGTTAGTGTTGGCTTTGCTTAGGGACAAGCTTCTTCCGTGGGGGGGGCATCCTTGTGCCCCTCCACCCAAAAGGGGCACCTGCTTTTCAGCCCCGGGGCGGGAGGCATGACTCGTGCTGCACCCCCACCCACAACCCAACCTTCCACGCCAGGGAAGTGGTGCCTGTGGGGCAAACCTATTCTGGGCTGCCCACGAGGGGGGAGGCCTGCTGGCGGCCCCCTCCCCCAATGCTCAGCGTCTCCCAGGTTGCTGCTGAGATGGGGATGCTGTGGGGGGGGCGGAATGCCAAACAAGGCACTTTCCAAAGCCCGGATGCAAGCTGAGCCCCTTTGCTCCAGTGCCCTTCTGGAGTAATGAGGACTAGTGTCTTGGCCTTGGGGCAGAAAACACGAGCCAGTTTTGCAGCCAGGCAGATTTCCTTCCAGAACCAGG